GGGGGAGGGGACATTAGAGTGTAAGCTCCTCTGTACAGAGACTGATGTGACTGGGGGGGGGGGGACATTAGAGTGTAAGCTTCTCTGTACAGAGACTGATGTGACTGTGTGGGGGAGGGGACATTAGAGTGTAAGCTCCTCTGTACAGAGACTTATGTGACTGTGTGGGGGAGGGGACATTAGAGTGTAAGCTCCTCTGTACAGAGACTGATGTGACTGTGGGGGGGGAGGGGACATTAGAGTGTAAGCTTCTCTGTACAGAGACTTATGTGACTGTGGGGGGGAGGGGACATTAGAGTGTAAGCTTCTCTGGTCAATTCTATCTACATTTACAGTAGCCCCCGGTACAGAGATCACATTGGTCACATGACTGCCAACTATTAGGCTGAGAACCAAACAGCTGAGAGGTCAGAGGGGTCCCTAATACCTGTCCTGCCCCCTCCCCCCCTTCACAGAAACTTTGTAAATACTCCACACAGATCAGCCTCTCACCTTGTTACAATGTTGCAGACTGATCACTGGGGGAGGGGAGACTGAGGAAATGCTTCGCCCGGCCCGCAGCAGACTGATGACATCATCTCAGCCTAGACAGAGTCACTGAGTGGAGATTTCTGTATAATGATCCTGTTGCCGTGTTCTGTGACATGTCAGGAATATCGTCATGGAGACGGGGAAGTTAGTGACAGGTACACGGAGGACATCCCAGGGAAAGGCAGACGGGGAGCGATTGATCCCGACCCTCCGGAACGTCCTCATGAACGGCGCGGAGCCGGCAGATGGAGGGGAAACATGTGAATATTAATGACACGTTGGCAGCCGTTTCCATGGTAACAATAAACCGCAGATGAGGAGAGACGGATGGGAAGTGCGCGGAGCGATCTCACCGGAGGAGAATCTATCTCCGTACTTCCCGCCCCTCCCCGCCATACACGGGGCGATTTATTGTGTGATCGCAATCTGCCCCAGACCGGCCAATCAGAACGCCCGGTGGACACATCCAATTCCAGCTACAACCGCCCCCTCCGGTCACATGATGTCATCGATTTCCGGGGAAAGGGCGTTGGGATCGGAGGGGATTGTTACAATGTAAAGGTGCCCATACACTGCACGATTATCGTACGATAATCGTATGCGATCGGGTTTTCGTACGAGAATCGAGCAGTGTGAACGGAGACGTGCGACCGTCTCTACTGTACGGTCGCACGTCTTCTGTCGAACCAGCATGTTCGAAAACCGGCCGGGAATCGTACGATTCTCGGCTGGTTAGAACGGTGCTCGGAAGACAAATGCCGAACGGGCCGGTGTGCGCACGCGCACACTGCCCGTTCAGCATTGCGGTCATCGGAAGCCCGCCCCTCAGGGGGCGTGGCTTGCGATGATCGAGAGTGCGATCTGCCTGTCCAAGATGGGCAGATCGTACGTTTTTTTAATCCCTTTACAACCATCGCAAGACTAAAGTCTTGCGATGGTTGTAGAGTGTATGGCCACCTTAAAGATCGATCAATCAATCGATTTTGTGGATTCATTCCGGGATGTTCTATTGATTGGCAATATTATTGATTTCTATAGCAAAAAAAAAACAGTCCCTGAAAAGAGGACCTGTCATCAGATACGTTGTATCCGTGCGGAGTCCGGTGTCACTGCGATAGGGACCGATACTTCCCCTCCGGTACTCCCCGATACCAATTACCGATTCCTTACTTTACTGTCATGTGACAGGTCTTCTAAAACAATGCCGACCAATGAGTATAGGACAGTGATGGAGCGCCGGGGCCCGGTCACAGCTGCACCCCTGGTAGTTCTGACTCCAGACTGTAGAGGGACTACAAATCCCAGCAATACATTATACAGCAACGCAGAATACCGGACTGATGACATCATCTCAGCCTAGGCTGCAGCTTTTCTTGCCGGCCACGATGACGCTCTCTCTCTCTGCGCCTGGATTGGCTGTGGAGGTCACATGATGTCATTTGGATTGGCTGTGGAGGTCACATGATGTCATTTGGATGGCTGTGACATTTGGAGTGCTCCTAGGCTCCAGTTGTTTTATCTGGATGGGATGGGGCGCTCCCTCTTTTCATTTGGATTGGCTGTGGAGGTCACATGATGTCATTTGGATTGGCTGTGGAGGTCACATGATGTCATTTGGATTGGCTGTGGAGGTCACATGATGTCATTTGGATGGCTGTGGCGGTCACATGATGTCATTTGGATGGCTGTGGCGGTCACAGCGCCCATCAGGACAGAACTTTCTAGAAGTTTACTTTGCAGACAGCGGGGTGGTCCCAGCGGAGGAGAGAGCGCCGCAGTGCCGCTGTGATCGATACAACCAGAATGAGATCTCTTACGGGATTGATTGACCAATTAGGCGTGCGGCGTTGTCAGGAGGCGGCGGGGAGGAGGCGCTCTGCCGCGTCCTCGGCTAATTGTATCGACAATAATATCAATCTAAATGTAAATGACGATTTATCAGCGTCGTCTGGGAGAGGCGGCGGCCAGGAACGTGTGCGGGGTGATAAATACTCGTCATCGGAGACTCACCCCAACCAATCAGAGGAGGAGGGCCCCGGAGAGGAGGGGGCCCCAAGGGTGAGACTCCCCCATTCCAAACCTGAGGAGGAGCGCCACTCACTGCACAAGATCAAATCAGCACCTGACCACCTACCAGGGGCCGGGGCATCACCCCCAATAACAGAGGGGTAGTTATAGAGACCCCTGAGGAGTCCTCTGAAGTCTCCAACACGTCTACACTCCAAGCTGATGAGATATTTTCCAGCATGCTGGCTGATCCTTCATCTCCGGCTTCTGCCGACCACTGACACAGATGAAATCACTCTGATGTCCCCGATCCACCCCCAGGACTTCCTTCCTGCACTCGGCCCAAGCCAAACTGCCCCCCATGTCTCCAGATACTCTGATGCACCCCGAGACTCTGTGCCTCCCTTCCCCAGCACTCCTCTGACTGCAGAAGGGACCAGGAGACCCAGATGTGGCCCCGGCTACGGTCAGTCACCAGGCAGAGCCGAGCCAGGTTCCTGAGTGGGGTAGTAGTCCAGGAATCCACCACATAGATGATGAGCCTCACCGATCCAAGAACCCGAAATAAGGACTGTCTATGTAAAGTATCCAGCA